TGAAAAAAATAAAAATGATGCACGTAATGTAGTGTTTTCTGGTCCCATAATTAAACAACAAACGCTGCTTGGAAACGTGGATTGTTCAAATAATTGCGTTCATCGTTGCAACGAGAACAATCGGCACTAATCCGCATAACGAGTGTTCCATATACTGTACAGTAAAGACAAGCACAATAAGAAAAAGTTTCACCGTATTCATCTTCATTGTGTTACTCTGTCTCCTGGAACAAAAAGACACACTTTGAGCGAACAAACGTCTCATTGAATTGACTACATACCAATCAGGGAACCAAGATGGACTCTACAATAAAATTGCACAGGATCAAAAAATTCGTTGTAGGAAGAGTTTCGTTGCAGAGAAGCCCTTATAACATGAGGTGAGAACTTTATGGGACCACGAAAAAATCGTAATAACGAATAATCGATTAAAGTAAAACGATGTCATTTTTAGTTCCCTTCCCAATACCCATTTTGCTAAATGAATCTTCTTACAACTTTTTTTTTTTTAAACGAAGCTATTTTACTGATTCCAACGGCTTTGTGGTAACGAATTTCACTGTAAACTGTACAGAGAAAATCGTTGTAGTTTGTAGTCCACTTTACTGCAGTGAAGTACTGTACCACCACAAACAATTCCACTTGGGGCATTTTCCTGCTGAAGAAACCAGCATTTTGGCTGGAAAAAATGACAAATGACAAGAAAGTAAAATTGGTTCATTCTGAGCAGTCTAAAAATGTTGTAATAAATGAGTTGACACGATGTTCAACTTGACAGAAAGGGTTAATTTACTCAATTATTCACTTGATCCTTTTTGGAAAGCATCCAGTTAAACTTCAATTTATCTTCTCATTCCTGGATCCCGGGAATAATAGCCCACAGACTTCTAGAAATTAAATTCACAGTATCGTGATGAGATATGGAAAGTCTGGGCTAGGGAGGTCTATACTACTGTACATTGTTATTGGGGAAATTCGGACAGGATTTGAACTTTTACAGAAAATTTTGAAATATGGAGATATCACTTGGCAAGATATAAATGTACTGTACTGTATGTTCTCCAAGCCCCATTTGCATTGGCGTATTTGTTCGCACAGTGCTTGCAAGGATTTGCCGACACAGGGTGGACCAAAATAAATCATGACCCCTTTTTAATAGACCCGGAATTGCCTTGAAAAAAATTAGGTCACAGAAAATCTCAAAACTAAAAGTTTTTAAAGGTGCACATATGCACAGTTTTAAGAGAAACACAAGTTTGATTCAAACATTCCAAAAAATCAACATCACGAAGTACTTCATAAATCCGTTGGAAGGAATTCAAACTTCAAAGGTTTTACAGAGAATTTTGAAGTACTGTACTGTACTTGAAAGCTGTCGATAAAGGAAAATTTCTGATATCGTTTAGACTTCGGAATAATTTTGCAAGATTGCGTGGGGCTTTTCCATTTTTTTACAGAATACGGTAGAGACAGAACTCACGTGTCCTTTCAAAACTGTTCCAAATTTTTACAAGAAATGCTGCATCTTTGCATAAAAAATTGCCAACGGTCATCGCTCGATTAGCTTGAAAAACGTTCACATGATCCAGATAGTCGAAAAGGGTGATTGGGTTCGCGGGTTTCTTTCGCAGTCTTCTGCGATTAAAATCGGCAATATTGAATGCCACTTCGCGAAATTGTACCGTACTTTTCCGTAATACTATAAAAGACTGAGGGTGGACTGCAACCTCAGGACGGCGCCAGAGAGGATCGCAAAGGCTTAAGCCCTTCTTGCGTCGTTTTCAACCTGCGTCGTTTACCGGGTACTGTACCAGATAAAATGCGCTAGAAATCGAAACATATACCTTTTCTACAATCCCCCGGAGAAAGTGTTGGGTTATTTCGAGCAATTTCGGCAATTATACAATATTAGCGTAAAACCTTGCCCCAAATGTTCAATCAATCAGTCAGTAGAAAAGAAATTCGTTCAAACGAAATTTGTCGTAACGAGGTTATACTACTGAATGGACCGAAAAATGGATTGTTTTCAAAGAATAATGCGCTGCAAGGTGTATTCGCCATAACAGAAGTAGTTCATTTTCATGCACCAAAAAGGCTGTGGATGACAAGCATCCATATCAACAAGAAACCTATACGTGTGGCAAACTTCTTCCACTGCTCTCGTCGTCCGAAAAAAAAAATCAAGATACGACACGTAAGTTACGAAAAAAATCACACCATTTTGAAGGTCATCACATTGAGCTTTCTCCTGAGTCCGAAATCTGCTTCGGAGAACACATTAACATGGCTACTGCAACTCTGAAATAAGGAACATTTTCTAGTTCCCTGTACACGGTTTACAGCATTAAAGTTCTACGGACTGCCAAGAAGACCCAACTCATCATGTATTGACAATGGACCAATCAAGCGAATTAATTCAGCGTAAAAGTCTTCAGCATGAACAGGAAAAAGATGAGAGGAATCTGGATTCCATTCCACAATCACTCCGTTCTAATACCCGAGATTGAACAAGCGCGATAGCTAATTCACCGTGATGATCCAGAAGCAACCGACGAGCCGTTCAACCGGAGCAAAACTACCACACCCGCAAAAATAGCCCTTCTATATAAAATTAACCGATCATTCTCCATTGACTTGCTTTTCTTCCACAATCGTCTCAAGCCATCCTCAGCGGGGCATCCACGCATCGCGAGAGATCAAAAGAATTGGTTCTCATCGTGTTGCGAAGGTAAATTAATTCTGCGTACATTGTACACTGAAGCCAGAACTTTTTCCCGTCAAAACCCACGCATGTCTGTCAACTTCAACAGTGGAAATAGCAATCATACACGCCAGCTCCACCAATGGTAGAACGTCCACGGAATCATTCCGAAGCAATACTGCAACTCTCTGTACCTTGCAGAGATGACATCGCTTCCATAGGTGAAAATGATCGTCAGTAAAAACAGAATGCTCCTCCCGAAATCCATTCCGTGTTAATCGCACATTGAACGACGAGCAAATAACATCACAACCACAACCTAGATGTCAAACGAAACACCATTGAATGAGATTTGAACCAACCTCTGCAAACCTGACGCAGTCTTCATCATCGCCACGAATCGAAAGCCTCATGGTCTCGTTCCCCCGAATCACCTTCACACGTAGCAAGACCCCGAATCGAGCCTGAATGTCTTCTAGATACATCGCCACGGCGTCCCATCGCGATGCCGACACTTCCACAGTCCGTTCCACAATAAGGTCGTCCATGGTTGACACTTGCTTATTAGGGAATCACAATCGTTATCGACTCATCACGAACTATTTGCGGTCACTGTTCCGGGCCACAATACAAAATAAAAATCACAGACCTGCAGAACAGGAACGATTTACGAATGACTTCTATTCTCCGCACACGATTTCAGGTACCGCAGGAAAAACTATGATGGATGGAGCTTCGATTGTTACGACGCGAAGCGTCGTTATCAAGGTCTTCATTCGTTTTCTGGGGCGGTGAGTTCACCCATTTAGCTGCGACAATCTCGAAATCACGCGCTTCAAAAACGAGTCATTTTCCAATAGCGTGCGGGGCCGAGTCCTTTCAGGGGCACGTTTTGTGCGTGGATATCGCGACACCGAGCGGAGGGTGACGAAGAGAATTGCCGCTAGGTGTCGTTGCCACATCATCGTTGAAGCAGGAGGGGGGGGGCACCAGCACTGCATGGTTTTCCTATCCACCTATCGCTTGCATCATAAGGTACCGTATTTTTTGTTCAATAACCTCGTGACAGCCTTGACAGGAGTAACCATAAGGTACAGTATGCGGCAGTAATCGTAATGACCAATATCTTTGCATGTTTTCCAGAGCTAAAACATAATACTGTAACTAGCGATCAGTAAAACCCTATTTTGTCAAATTAAATCTCCACAATTTATATACAAGCACCATGCATGATGCTTTTCAAGTTTTCATCGGGAATCGTATACAGGTACACATTCAGTTCAGCAATGACAATACTGTTCTGTATTTCTGAATAACGAGATTTTTTTGGAAGTTCAACAGTGGTTCCCTGCAACGACAGCAGCAAGATTTTTTACTAGTCACCTGCTAAATTTTGTTGAGTACAGCGCCTGTATACTGATGTATTTGATGCCATAGATTCTCTGCAGATCAGTTTCAGTCTATAGCAGGTGGACTCCTTATTGTCTCAATCTATTTTAACACACTTCAGGGGACTAGAAAAAAATTCGTTCTAGAGAGAATTGCATAGAGAACCCTGCGCTGGGATCAATAAAAAATACTGTATATGCATGCACACAGAATATTGCTTTACTGTATGGACAAGCTAGATATTATTGTACAGGGTCCACCTGAATATACAGAACAATTAATATATATACATTGTACATTTGTTGTTCAAAAGATGATGGCATTTTTTCAATAAACTTTTCCGATCTACTGTGCAGAAGCAGAAACGGCCTCTTCGAAATTTTCTTGAAATGCAACTATAATGTAGCTACTTGAATGGAAAAAAGCAGTATAACAGCAGATATCCATTTGTTCAATTAATTGAACTACCTTACACTATGTAACAATTTCAGCTGCAATGGTGTGGACAGAAGATCAAAATCTTCACAAAATTGTGTGCAATCCACGAAATATCAAGACTTTCTGTAGGTCAAGCATTTTTCCCAGTTGGAAACGAATTTTACTTTTTTGTTGCACTCGACGTTAATGTACTGGTCTACTGTATTTTATTGGGCCTAATGAATTTCCCCCAGAAATTTTAAAATTGATTCGGAGGAAAAATCGTTGTGACGATATTCTTATAATTAACTGTAATTGACCTGTTTCAACAATCACATGATAAGAAAGTTTCGGAAGGTCTACGGCTATAGCATCATAACTTCCAACAACAGCAAAAAACCCGAATCACAAACCCGCATGAGATATACAGTATTTCTGTTCTGCGGGAAAACATTTCAGTGAACGAAAAAAAAAATTTTCTCGAGACCCAGCGAACTTGGAAGATCCTTTATTTTCCGAGAGATTCACGAATGACTAGAACACGAGAAGCTCGCAGTCGAAATAAAATCAGGACTATACAGAACTAAATAATGTCGATCATCATCGGTAACACGGTTTTGGTATAATTCAAGCTGCATTCATACTTGGAAGCAGCTGCCCATGAATTCCATTCCACACGCATATCTTTTTTGGCATCACGATCACAAAGAATATATTCCGTACCAGCTTTTACTCTCTGCCCTCGGAACCTCAAACGTCAGGACATGAAAAATAAGTTTTGGAATGGCCCACGAAGTCAGATGTGCAATTTCTTCCACGTTACTCCGAGAGCTTAATCTCTGTTTTTAAAATGCGTCTCTTCAACAAAGGTGCACAACAAAGAAATAAGTGGATGATACCCGATCGTAAATTTTTTCCATAGAATGAAAAAGCCTGAACTTCATTTAAACCGCACCAAAGCACATGAAATTGGACGATTTGAAGCCCTTCAGACTTTTCAGAAATATCTCGGCGTTTTCCGTAATTCCGCAGGTGTGTTTTTCCTTTATTCTGGAAATCTATATCTCGACGGGTTTTCGCTCACTCAAGGAGAACGCTAAATTGTGCATTTCGCTGATGAAGATCAGGGGCTTCAAATAACTTTTCGCACTTGTTCAAGAACAACTTCCGCATTGCAAAGGAAGGGAATATTTTTCGTCGTAAATTCAACTTCATGGCCGCAAGAGACTTACGGAAGAGCACAGGAAGTTGGACAGCATGCAACATTGCACCATCAGTCTCTTCCGGATTTGGGATTCATGCTTCAGTGTAAGAGCTTCTATAAACGGAGCTTACAAAATAAATCGGGATCAATGACGCATACGCCTTGAATAACTGTCGTGAACCATTAGCCAAAGCCCCTTAGTTCAAACCCTCACGAATGCAGGAATGGTAAGTCTGGACCAATTCTTTCCATCGGTCAGCGAACACACGGATGAAACCCATACATTTACAGTCGAACCTCTTCAAGTCGAACTTCAAACGGGGCCAGTCAACAAATTCCAGTTAAGGAAACAAAGCACTTTTTTTGGGGGAAATAAAAAAGAAGACAGGAAATAGTAATTGGTGACATTCTGGGCCTTTGAATTCCTTTTCAAATTACCTGACAGGATGCTGAACTTGGACGCAAGGGTTCATTTGCCAAATTAGTCTTTCACTTCCTTTCCAAACACATTATTACATTTTCATCGCTCTTCTCTTTCCTGTGTCAATAAAATAATCGCCAAAAGGCCTCCAGAAAATTCGAGTTATGCAGGTTTGAGCGCGAAAGCCTTTAGTTAGGGAGGATTTTCTTTCATCGTTTCTGAAGAAATTCTGACATGGATTTGAAAAATATCGACATGGGGAGGTTCGAGTTATCGAGGTTCAACTGTACATGAGCATGACGAATACTATCGAGTTTTACGAACAGCGAGATCATGCGTCGACTGGATCCCGATCCGGTCTCCCAGGATTCTCCAGTAGCTCTTGTGACGAAGTAATCATGTCCTCACTATTTCCATCCACGTCGGGCTCCTTCGTGACGAGATTCACATCGCCTTCAACAACACCTATGAAAAAAAATGTCAGGATACGGTAGTGAATGGACTAACAAAACAAAAAAGAGCATGTGCATCAACGAATTCAACCTGCGGCAGACTGTGGGGGGATTTGCAGAACAGGAGCAGGAACCGTGGCTGGCAACGAAGGCTCAACAGTCCACACGAGCGGCTCGGCAAGCGGAAGTCGGTTGTCGTACCGGACAGTGTTCACGGTCGGTTTCCACAAGAAGACGTAGTATAGCGACAACATGACACCCGCAAGGGACACGGAAATGACGTAGCCGATCACTGTGAGCACACGAATGAGCTTCTTGTTGGGCTTTTGAATGTTGTTCGTGGACACGCTGTCCGATTTGACAGTTCGCTCGTTGGCGCTTCGTGCCTCCGACTCCGACTGCGATTCCACGTTCACTTCCATACTAGCAAGATGAAGGCTGATTGAAATTTCTCAGCGAAACGCAAGGTCACTCGAGAGCATCTCAGGTCACACCACGCCACGGGTTCGAATGCGACGCGAAGGAAGACCTCGTACACAGTCGGCTTGAATTCAGTAAATAAATAAGTTCCAGATCACGTCAGAAAAACCGAGGAAAAGGAGTTATCATAGCGGTAGAATCGATTTAATCTTGAGCTTCGTACTGCGTCGCTATCAAGACATCGAAGAGGGCACGACAATCTCAGGAAACACTTCCGATTCACCACAAAGCGCACTCCACATAATCACATTTATTTCATCATTTGCACGAAGAGTGTTTGAAATTATCGGTATACAGCATACGTGAAGTCAACTGCTCCGGATTTGAACGAACATTAATACTGCACTGCCGATATTCAAATCGCAAAAAGATTGATGCAAACGAAAATCATCCAAGTCTACAATTACGTCAAAAATCTTCTGAACCTAGAAACGCAATGCACCGGAAGAACATCAATGAAATCAACAACGTGGACATTAACCGGAACTCGACTATTGGAAGGATCAGATGAAGGCATAGGAACAATTCACAGGCACTTGAAAGGATTCCTTTCTTGTCTCACGCAAGGAATATTCAACAAGAGGTGTTCCTTCGCCCGATGGTCACAACTATTCCACCCATATTTAATTTGCTACCAATCGAACGGAAAAATATTAAACCAAAATTTCTCATCGTAAATGAACGCGATAGAGTACTGTACCTTCAAATGGCACAAATTCAACGAGCATCTAAAAAAAATTCAGAGCAGTAAACACCTATCATTTCCAAATCTTCCGAATTTTGAAATCATTTCACATTGTTAATTGGCAGTAAATAATGCACGGAGTGAATTACAACTGAGAACAAGGAAAAAAAATCATGAGTTTGACGTCTCCACTGCCATTTTGTGCATGATATGCACAAGATTCGTAGAAGACCACTCGAACGAAGTTGTTTTTGAGTCACGAACTAGCACATGTCCTAAAGCATTACCACCGAATCGGGCCTACCCACGATTTCATCGCGTTCTTTTTTATGTTCTATTCCACATTCGTGAATCTGAAAAGAACCAAAAATACGTGAAAAAGAAATCGGACAACAAAGCAAACAAATTTCAATAATCGACCTACAGGACGGATCAGCTTAGATATAATTGGCAAACATTTTCCAGTGGCATCAACAGGGATCAAACCAATGACAACGCACGATCACGAATCGATATTTTTTTCAGAACCTAAGGCCCGAAAGAACACAAACCAAAGCCTTACGATTCAAATCTACGCGGAAACAAACGTCCTGCGTTTTCAAAAACAAAACAAAACAAAAAACCTTACGCTTCCGGTATTGACTAATTTTGACAGCCCACCAAAGGCTTCAATGTACACGATTTTGCAGAACAAAACAAAAACAAAAAAGTGACTGGCATCGGTGCAAACGACTCGACATAAATATTCTCCCGAAAGCTTTCCTGCGGATTTCTTCCTTATGGGAAGGACTTCCTTCTAAAATTTCAACTGACTTAAAGCACAGCAATTTCATCAATGATGTTCGATTTTGGAACCCAGTGTAACGAAGGTATTAATTTTGAGGCGTACGTCTTTTTCACAGACCTTTTTTTTTTTCGAGTTCGGCCAGATTGAGTTTCACAAAAAATTCCTTCTACCGTTCAAGGATAAGAATCCGGTCTCGACTTTCTTCAGATGCAGTACATAAAGGGACAAAAGCATTCCCGCGAATTCACACCAATCGCTCAATCCTATTTCACTTCTCCGACCTTTTCTCCGGCTGAAATCCTGCGAACGTTTCATTCGTTTGTTGAGTGACCCGTATGAAAGTTGTGCGCTTCGGAAGCTCCTTCAGTTGACCAGCACCTTTGAAAAATTATAGAAGAAAATTAATCGTAAAAGTCAGAGAATCCTCAACTCTGATGCACGGTGTTGTACAGGATTCATCAATGAAACCAGAGTACATGAATAAATCATGCGAAAATTGATTCGATACTCCATGGCACTTCTAGAAATCACCATTTTTACAGAAAAATAAGAAACGAGCTAATGTACTTACGATTTCGATAGAGTTTATTATTTTAATTTGGGACTACATCCCACAAAACTTTAAAACAATGTTGTTTTTTCTATGGCACTGGTGCCCCGGAGTGTTCAGAAATTCGCCAATTCAAACTGCAAGCCACTCAAGGCTAAATAATAAATTAAGGTACTAAAGAAGAATGCTCATCAATTCCTTCGCATCATACTGATGACTTGTATTAGTATTTAGGGCAGAGTTGCCAACATACGGACCATGGGGCCAGATCTGGCCCGCGGAGACTCTTCATCCATCCCGCGGTCTCTTCCCATGGGGGCAGCCAGCAGTTTTCAAAATATATTTTGAATGAAGAACTTTCAAAATTAAGAGTGATGCGTCAAATTAAGAGTGAATACCACTGAATTAAATTTGAGACTTTTAATTTAAAAGCGGGAATTTTGGAATCTCAAAAATTATTTTCGGTTTTGCCCTGCGAAGACTCTCCACCTCTGCAATGTGGCCCTTGGCCACGTCTAAGTCAGGCAGCATTTCAAGACGAAACGAAGGGTTGCTTGGTATGAGAAATGATGCAATTGGAGAAGACAAACAAACCCGTGTACGTGCATGCGCTCCTCAGTCCACCGAGAATGTCCTGAACAGTTTCCTCCACATCCCCGCGATACGGTATTTCAACTGTCTTCCCTTCCGACGCCCGATAATCCGCCACTTTGCCGTGATGCTTGTGCATGGCCGTCGACGACGCCATGCCATAAAACAACTTGAGCATCTTCCCGTCCCGCTCAATGATTTCCCCGCCGCTCTGGTCGTGTCCCGCAAACATGCCGCCAATCATGACGAAGTCCGCGCCGGCCCCGAACGCCTTCGCCACGTCGCCGGCGCACGTGCAGCCGCCATCGGAAATGATGTGTCCGTTGAGTCCGTGGGCGGCGTCGGCGCACTCGATGACGGCCGACAGTTGAGGGTAGCCCACGCCGGTTTTCTTGCGGGTCGTGCACACAGAACCCGGCCCAATCCCCACTTTCACAATGTCTGCGCCGGACAGGATCAGCTCTTCCACCATTTCCCCAGTTACTACATTGCCAGCCTGAGGAAACGAAAATGGAGATCATCATCATTGAAAAACGCAGAACATCACACAGCAGCCAAACTCCTTTTAAGGTTCACTTCACTAGAGTAAACTTGTTTTCTCTCATTAAAATTGTGTCTCAATTTTTCCAGGTTTTGTCGATTCTGAGTTTGCTTAGTTTCATTCAGAAATTCGGGGCAAGGGTCAGGACATCGTATATGACATTTCTGATAGTGACAGTCCCCCCCCCCCCCCTTCTTTTAACGCACCATTATGGTTTTTTTGGGAAACAATTTTCGAACTTTTCGCACGAGTTCGACAAAGTGTTCCGAGTATCCGTTCGCAACATCGAGGCAGATGAAACCCACGTCCGGGAGCAAGCTTAAAATTTCTACCATCTTGTCAACGTCTCCTTCTGCGGTCCCCGAACTCACAGCCACGGTTTTCAGCACATCCGGATGCTGGGAGGCAAACTTCTTCCAGTCATTGATCGTATAATGCTTGTGGATGCAAGTGAACAACCCATACTTGCAGGAAAGAACATTCACATTAGATACACGACCAGCATCGAGCGAGTTTTCCGTCTATACTCAAAATATGCAGGCTGAGAAACGCTTCTTAAAAATGCCACAAAAATGTCACCATCTTGAGCCTAGAGTAATGGTCTGCAACCTGTGTTCCGCGGACCAGCCCCAGTCCGCAAGAAATGTTCTTCAGCATAATACATTTATCAAAGGTAGTAATGAAGTCTGTTATCTGCACTAAAATTGTTGGGAAGACAATGGCAGTTGAAATTATCTGATGAAAATTGAAAGTTGAATTTTCTCCTAAAAACACGTCAGACAAATTCTCACCCGCTGCAACAAATTATTTCAAGTATTCATTCTGAGAAAAACTTATTGAAGCCCAGCTTCCGAATCTTCAATACATTCCACTTATTTTCTTCGATCACAGTTTTGTTGAAAGACTTCATGGCAGGTATTTTAAAATTTCTGGAGGTTCGCAATAATTTTATAGAAAATTTGCCAGTCTTCGGGCCAAAAACGTTGAGGAAAACTCGCTAAACTCCGAATTAAACAGAAAAACTAAATCAAGTTTCTGCGGAGAACCTCACTTTCGACCAGTGGTCAACCCTCCGAAGCATTCTCACCTTCGCAAGAGCAATAGCCATTTCGAAAGTTCCAACGGTGTCCATATTGGCAGCAATGATTGGCACTCCGTGATATGCGTTCAGCGAATTCCGAAAATTGTACGTTCTTTGCAAATCGACCTGCAAAAAAAAACTCCACCATGAAAAAGGATCTGCGATTCAAACTGAACAAGAAAGCACTTACATCAGATCTACTCTTCAAAGTGCTCCTCTTCGGACGCAGCAGAACATCCTTGAAATCTAGCTTCACGTCGTAGTCGATCCGCGGCATTATCACAGTATTATTTCACACGCCTCTGCAGAAATACCGCTGTAGCATCAAACAAATATACAGTACTTCACTGAACCCTCGTTAGTTCATGCATAGGTTTACGACGCCTTCACGACTCAATATATTTCTCGACGTAAAAAAGGAAGTGAACGAGAGCCACTAGCGAGAGCCCTACCTAGAATTCAGAACGAAAAAAAAAACGCATCCAAATCCTAATTCGTGTGTTGTCTTTCGAAAAAATTGGTCCACCCCTGGTTTTCGATCGTTCACACTCACTCACACATCAAATACTGCATCGGAAAATGTTCGTCCGCATCGTTCATGACACCGTTTCCTGGACGGACGTTAGTTTCACAAGCCACCACGATAATTAGTCAAGCCTTTCTTACAAGGGGTTTTCGGGGAGATCGTCTTCACGTCATGTTGTTCCGTAAGTTACTGTTTTTCTTTTTTTTTTACTATCACCACGCGCATCCCGTTCCATAAAGCCTTCTACGAAAAATAATCTCCCACACACTGAGCTTGATCTGAGAATTATGTTTTCATCACACTGAGCCTCAAAATCTTCAAACATTGATCGCGGCGGGAAGACCGACAATGGGCACTTATTGAGATTCCGTAGTTATTTTGTTCCCTTCAGTTCAACATCACACGCGGAATTTAAAAAAAAGGCCCCCAATCTTCCACATACAACAATAACACTTTCGCCATCCAGTCAAAACACCAAACATCCGTAACCCCACGACACATGGAAACACGTCCAAGGAAATTTACATCAAACAAAAGCGCAAGATCACAAAGGAACACGCGTTAGAAAAAGTCTCAATTCGTCGTTTCCAAGATCAAAAGGTTCCTAAAAAATACCCATGCTATATTCCCAACTATAGCCCAGAATTTGAAACCCAGATAAATCATCCACTTTCAAACTCGTCCAATTCCCAACAAAAACTTTCTTACTCGAAATAAATCAAGAAAGAAAACGTCTTACATAGACGTTGAGCACGAATTCTCTATTGAAGAAGGGAAGGGGGAGGCGATTTTCATTTTTTAAATAATTCACCGTAAGCTCCAAAAAATCGATTTTAAATAGGGTTGAAAAAATTCAAATACTGTAACTCGTCTTGTGGTCACAATTATCAACGGTGAAAACGGAATTCCTTTCCCTTCTGGGAGAAAAATGAAGACCACGAGGAAGTTCGTTAAATCATGGAAAACTTCAACTTTGTAGCACATTGGAATCAAGAGAGAAATCTTGAGCCTGACTCAACATTCGCGCACGGAAAATGAAAAGCATCAACCTAATAAAATCATCTGACATTCCTCCTCAGGCAAAAAAAAAAAAAACCAAAACAAACGAACAAAACGTTATTACAAAAAAAGGGGGGTCAACGTGGGATTCAAACGCATCCGTACTCGTACCACACGGAATTATCGGGTTTCTTTTCGATTTTTCCCGGGTCGGATCCCCCAGCGTCGCTGCCACCGCTTCTCGAGGCGTCCCCACTACTTCCGCCACACGGAGTTGACTTCACGGACGACGGTCCTTTCGATGTGCCTAAAGCTGACTTGACGGATGACGGTGCCCGGGGCTTGGGCCGCGCCACCGACGGCGGGAGTGCTCTGAAAAGGGAAATTCACAGGGGGAAAAGTTGACGAAAAAGTCCAAAGAAAATGTGCCAATTACGCCACGTGAAAAAGCATCCACCATTGCACTGGTCATTTTATAGATACAGTTTAAGAAGGGAGAAGCCATCTGTTCTTTCTTCGAATAAATGGTTTTGATGTGGACACTATTTTTCGGTCCCTGCAGCATGAAGTTTTCCTTACTTTAAAGAAATTCAGTTTTTTAAACGGATGACTCAATCTGTAAAAAACCCACAAGAATTGTGCATTTCACAAGTACGGGTCGAACATCCAAGCGACAGATGCCCTCGACAGCAAGACAAAAAATTGATAAATCTTGGAATTCTCAGAGCAACAGCAAAATTTCGAGAGGATAATTTAAAGCCCTCTCCAGATCAGGAAATATGAATAAGTACCAAGCAATTTCAAGGGAAGAGAAACCCTCACTGCGAAAATCTTCAGGAATGTGTGCGTAGAAAAAAAAAGGTTTGGTTAATCATTTCAGCAAAATAATTTGTCTGTTGATTGAATGATGGAAGAATTCCAAAAACATTTCACATTGATCCACCCTGACTTGGCGAAAATGTTCGGCGATTTTCATCCATACCTTGACACAAATGCATTTCCTGCTCTAGCAAGGAGTGAGTCACAATTGAAAAGAGAATAATTTCTCTATGGAAGAAAGTTCGTGCTGTACGAAGCACAATGGAAACATCAAAAATTTACTCAGACACGAATTGAAAGCTTTTATTTGATCCAAAACTTATCCGTTTTCCGAATTTCGAAGAAATTTGCGAAGAAAAAAAAAACATTTACTTTTGGTGTGACCAGCGGAAATACAACTGCATTTTCTTTCTACATCGGACTTCGCTGGTATCATAAAAACCGGACGAAATAAGACATTCTTATTCTCCATTCGCTACTGTCACATGATTTCAATTTTTGGAGAAATTCGGGTGTTATCGAATGCCTATTACAATTGCCTACCCACATTTTTTCATGCATGCAAATAAACTTCATTTACTCGAGTACCGCACGCCTTCGAGTAAGACGCGTACCAGGGTTTTTCAGTCTGAATATGTTGTAAAATTTTATCCCTGAGTAAGACCCACCCCAATTTCAAGTGAATCTAAAAGTACAATATTTTAAAAATTAAAACCACCGAAGTTTGAATTTAGACATGAATTCATCCTGAATTCAGCTAATTTTCAATAATTTCCATTACAATACGACGTCCCGTTAAAATGTGCCCAAAATGTCCCATCAGAATTGAATATAATGCAAAACTAAGCTAATAAACCAGTTTTTAAATTTATACACATCTGTGACGCGCATCACTTTTTTCCTTTCAATTCTGAGGAAAAAATGTGCGCGTGGTTCCCGAGAAAATTCACATATAAAAAACTAAAAAAGATTTTTTTTTATAATGACGCAAAATTTCAAACGAAGAATTTCAGGAACGACACAGTTTTTCCTTTTCCTCTTTACTCTGAACATGAAAAATACGAAGAAGAAGAAAAAGGACAGATAAATGAGCAAAAGAAAGTAAGAGAGAGCTCTCACGATTTCCCGGCAGCGCCTGTGGGTGTTCGGAGTGGGGTAGACGTGGCCACTGCTTCCGCCGTGCTCACGGTGTCGTCGGCGCCCGGTGGCGGCTCCGGCGTCGACTGCGCCATCCCAATCGGCGACTGCCTCGTGCCCGACGGCATGCAAGTTCCCGCATTCCCGCCTCCGTCGCTCGATCCGTTCCAATCTTCCGGATCCGGCATCCTCGCTTTCCCGATGAATCCTTTTGCACTTCTCAACACCTGCAGTGAGGCCAAACAACAACAACAAATCTCCATCAATCAAATAGCCAGTAACGAAAAATTCACCAAAACGCCTCCAGAAAACAGCTGGTCACCGCACGCACGATCGCACACAATTTAAATTCAAAAGTGAGTTACAATGAGATAGAATCAGAATTCTGCAATTTTCCGCTGAAAGAATCCAACCAAACATGGAAAAAAATTTTGAACATCCCGCATGAATGGTTAACTGAAAAATATAGCCTGAGGCTATCACATGTACAGTGTATCGTTACAACGAAGCATTTAGGACCATAAAAAAGCTTCGTTGCAAACGATTATCCGTTGAAACGGAATTCAAATTGTGGCTATTTTGTCAAAAATTATTGTCGGACAAGGACCGAAAAAAAAATTCGTTGCAAACATAGAATCACTACAAAGAGATTTGTTGTAACGAAAATTCTAACTTTATAACATCCAGTTGAATCGACTAGATCGATCCGTTCTTTCACTCAATGTTTGGCATCTACAAAAAATGTCCTCTTCCCACGTCTCAGTCAAAATTGACGGGCGCCAGCTCCCCCGCAAAAGGTCTATCTGAACTCTCCATCAGACTAACCTTTGGACTGCGTCTCGAATCAGAACCCACAATGCTGCCAGAACCCTTCGCTACGCCGTCTTCAGAGTAATAAACTGCCCTACGGGTACCGGGACGACCCAGACCGAGGTTCAGTTCGGCACTACCCGGTTGTCGCTTGCTAGCCGCCACCTTGGCAGCGGCTTCGCTGTCTTGCGAAGTTTTCCTCGGCGGTGCTTCCGCCACCACGCTCGCGCTCAGACACGGCATTGAGTGGCGGTGAGACGCCGTTCCGTTGCCCGGCGCGGAAGACGACGACGTTGACGCCGCCGGGAACACGGCAGAGGACGTTTCGAACTGCTCACTCTTGGTGTCCTCGTCTCGGCACAAATCCGCCAGCAAATCATCACCTGTTGAAATAAATAAGCCCCTGGTCAGATTCGAAAACGGAGAAACCTAGATCTTCTTGACCAATTGGGAATTAGGCTGACCCACGGGTTGAGGAACAGACGAAAAATCGACCAGAACCACACATTGAAGATCATTCGCACACGAGCATTTCGGTTAAGCACCAGGATTTCATACAGAACATTAAACCGGTGTAGGAATTCGAATGAGGACTTGAAAAACTGCCGAATTGATATTCTTGCATCAATTGATGATTTGGGGATTCGAGATATCCCACTGCATAATTCCACGAGTTCTCAATTACATCCATGGCTTCAACAATACTTCCGACATCATAACCATAATAATATAATGTAAATGTTCGACTGAAAAATCGGATACACTGGGATAAAAGTTTGCAACAAAAAATCAGATATTCAAGGCATCAATGAACCCGAATGGTCAAATCTTTTGACGTTCAATTCGTGCGGGGTGCGTGTAATGAACGCATCCTAAACTGATCATGAGATTATTCCTTTCGATTCAATCATGTTTCAACCCATTTTTACAGATATTATCGGATAAATGAACACATTTCCGGGTTTTCCAAAAAGAGACTACGTATTCAAAAGCATGTTTAAAAAAGAGAAAGCACAAAATTAGAAGCACAAGTGTTGGATTATGAAAAAGAGAACAGTACTGTCAATTTCATCAAAATTTCAAACTGAAAAACACCCTGGTGCGCGTCGTACTCGAGTAAATACGGTGAAACATTAAAAACAACGAAAATTAAAACGTTGAATTTAAAATATGAAACCCTAAAAGAAACATTTCGGTAACCCCCATGGGACTGTGAAAAACAACATCGTTGAAAAAGTAAATAAATTCAAAAGGGGTGCGTTTTGATGAACACACCCGAGGATCCCGAGCCACCGGTGGAGGCGACGGACGCAGAATCCTGGCTGTCCGTCGCATCGCTGCCATGCATATGCGCCGCGTGGACATTGTACGATCTCTTCGACAGGCCCCCGACGACGATCGGTCGCTCCTGACTTCGGCTCGCACGGGGAACCTTCTGCATAATCTCGGATCCCGCCTTACGCACCTTTCGAACCAATGCTGACCCAAAACTTTTCCTGCAATTTGCGAGAAGAATAACCTTTATTCATAACTGCATTCATTTACGACTGGCATCCAGAAGGGTTATAATTAACGCTCAAACCTCCCCTTATTTTCTATTAAAAATGCTCACCAAGACTGACCATCAACTCAAAAATTGAGGTCACAGATGGTTTTTTTTTTCTTGACTACGATTTCTAAATCTGCGAAGAGGTTGCTGCAAATGATTTTCCGGCATAGTGAAACTAATCCATTTGGTTCAGTAGAATTTTCATAAAATGAAACGCAATTTCTCCAAAAGTTACACTGCACCTCAAACAATTGATTTGTTCCGGACACTCCCCAAGAAAAAATACTGCAGGAATGCTCAAAAACAGTAACAGTACAGTATTTTCTCCAGTTTATGATTGAATTTAAAATTTATCAGCATTAAATTGAAGCAAAAATTCCTGAAAAGTTAATAAGAAAAAAAGAGGCACAGCCATGCTCTTTTTTTGCCCATTCCTTCATTCCCTTAAAAGATTTCAAATGTTTAGCACAAACCTCGCTAAAATTTATTAATTTTTGGCCAACAAATTTAGTTCAGTGTTTCACAGGCGTATGCGCATAACGTATTAGGTGGAATTCAAATGTTATTCATCATGACATAACATATTTTTCAACACTCAATAGATGTTCACCTCCGTGAGACGTTTTCCATCCTTCGGTACTGCTCCATTATTTTCTCCTCCAATTTTTCTTTCTGCCTCCGCAAATCGTTCAACTTATCTCTGAAAACGATAAGGAAATCGTGAGACCTGAGGACATGAAAACGACAATTCTTGGAGTCACCCATCAATTGTTTCAACGATTAATCTGCAGTATAATACGATCATGCGCACAATTCGAAAGAATTGAACCAGCAGAGATAAAATTGAATCGAGGAAAACCACGTGAATTTCCCAACACGAGGCATCTATTTAAATTTGATGAGTACTATATTACGAATAAAGACTCACACATAATTTTTCTCCTCATTGTGGAAGTGATTCCGGTCCTCGAGCGTCTGCGTCAACAAGTCGTGATATTGCGAAAGCAGCACGGAGACCTGAGCCATCAAGTGCTTCCTCTCCTTATCCAGCGTGGAATTGAGATTCCCCAACACATCACACTGCTGAGCCAGTTTCGACCTCTGCAACTCCAATGTGGCAATCTTGTGCTGTGTCGAATCCAACTGTCCTTGAAGCTCCGTCTGCTTGAGTCTCAGCAGACTGTTGTCCGATCTCAATGCCTTGTGGTCACTTTGCAACGTCTTGTACTCCTCCTTCAGCCGCTTGTTGGCGGCAAACAAAGACCGGAAGTCGTCCTTCAATCGAGAATGTTCGGCTCGCAGAGTCGACAGCGATTTTGCTTCCTATTGACATATTTTCGAAATTAAAATTCTGGTTATAACACAAAAGAGCAAACAAGCATCAAGTAGCATCTGAGTATGTCAAGTAATCGACTTTAAAATGACCCGAACTTAGCAAACCCCGTCTGAACTTCTGACTGGCTAGTTCGCTTTATTCTCTCTCCTGTACGTTTTTCATTGATTATTTAAATTCTGAACCCTTTTTCAAAGCTTTCCCTCTCATAAAATAAAAATAGCTCGAGGGAATTCACTTGGGCCCCAAGATGCGGACGTTATGGATGCTAGGACCTTGTCACTATGTCGGAACATCTACATGTTATATCCCGTTTCCCCATAGAGTTCAAAGGGAACATATTTAATTTAAAGTCCTACTTGTCAAAAATTGCGAAGAAGTCCACCAGAAATTGAACAAAATTGTTTTCTCAACTTCAAGATACAGAAAATAACTGCAGAAAAGCACCACACAGAATCTGATCTTTTGGCATGTAAAGGAGCCCAAAAAGCAAAGACGAAGCACAAGCCTTGCTATTCTGTGCACAGATGATGGAAAATAATTTTTTTTTTAAGCAGAAAATTAGCCGGATTTTCATCATGAATTGGGGTACTTGAAATCCAAAATAAAATTTCTTTGGGATTTTTATGAATATAAATAGCTAAATTTGGGCAAGAGACATCAACCATTTTCCACCTAGAGGTGTTGGAAAAGTTTCGACATTTCTTGAGACATCCGTCTGGATGTTGGGGAATAATTTTTTTGAATTTCACATTTCCCTAATTTGAATTGTCTGTTTGTCGGGGCGTCCGTATGTAGGGGTCCCACTGTCAACAGCTAAACTCTCTCTACAATGATTTTGTCTGTATAAAGATTTTTTTTGTCGGTCTCACAGGGGTTCTCTAAAACAAAATTCTCCCTACAACGGATTTGTTCCAGTACCTTGAATTTAATTCTAGAGAGAGTCCACCTGTACGTAAATCGTTCAAGTAATGCGCACCGGAGAAAAAAAACGAATTAATCGACATGAAGATTGGGATTTTACCTGTCGGAGTGTCTCTCGCTCGGCTTCAATCGACGACTTCATAACGTTCAGGGCCTCCTGACCTCGACTCGCCTGCTCAAAGTTCTCCTGCAGAGTCTTGAAATCCCTGACGAGGATCCGGTTCGACGACTTCAACGTCGTCTGCTCCTTTTGCAACGCCTCGTAATCGCAACTCAGCTGCTCGTGCAGCTTCTGCAGCGTATCGTAATCCGCGACCAGACTCTTTTCGCGCTGTCGTCGCTCCTCCAACTCGGCATTCAACTGCGACCTCTCCGCAATCAACTGCGTCGTGGATTCCTGCAGCTGGGAATTCTGCGCAGACAACGAAGCTGCCTGGGCTTGCAAAGTGGTGTTTTCAACTTCCAGGGCAGCCGGGGATTGCCGAGAGTCGTCGGACCGTATCTTCTCGTTCACCAGCTCCGCACGAAGCGAGGCCAGTGTCTTATCGACGACGAGTTTCTCTTGCTTCAGCTCACCCAGCTCTTTCTCCAACGACACGATTCTGATCGCAGAAAAACACGCAAAACATGAATTAATCCATTACCCGGACGTGTGCTCAACTCGATAATCGAGTTGAGTGAAAGGCGTGTGAGCCCATTACGACACGTTCACTAGCTTACACAAAATATAATTTGCATAATAACCCAATCACTCGGGGTCAGATAATGAAGTATGCGAGGTAGTGTTACGTTAGTTGCCTTGACAGCGTTTCCGCAAAGCGTTTTCTCTTGTTCTCATGAATAAAATGAAGGAATAATAATTTTTGCTTTTTTCAATACTTCATATTTTAAAATTTTCGATAGCTGTTCCATACTTCAAGTACTTCAACTGTTTCGCATTTGCCATATTTTTTTCTCATACCACGTGGAAAAGTTTATTTTGTTCCAAAATGCAGTACTGTACGAGGGGTCCAACAAATTTTCACAGAATATAAAGCGAAGCAACATACAATTGAACAGAAAAACAATTAGTATTCAGAAAAAACATTCCTTGGCACAAACAAAAAATTCAGCCCTGTTCAACATATTTTTCAGAAAATTTTTGCAAAAGTCACAATGGCAGTTTTTGTTTTGTTTTTTGTTCTTCACTCCGAAGATCAGACGCTCATCTTGCAGTTTTTTGGCGTACGCAAGCTTTCCCTTCAGAATTCTTTAAATTGGCATGGCATCAATTCATAGGGTTCCCGCCATTCATTGATTTTTAATTCCTCCATTGTTACCAACACCCGCGACTTGCGATGAGGATGTGGCGGCTGTTGATGAAAATGGCGAGATAATTTTGGAAGATCTGGAGGAAACCCTTGGAATTAATCAAGTTTCAAGAATTCTGAAGTAGAAGCTGGGCTACACCAAAAAATACCTGAGATGGGCGACTTATACTTTGAGTGAAGAGTAAAAAGCTGCCAGTGTGCTTTTTGCGAAACAAAATTCCAAAAAACCCGTCGAACAGGGCTGAATTTATTTTTTCTTGCGCCAGAGAATTTGTTTCTGAACAATGATTATTTTACAGCTCAATCGTATGCCATCTCAATTTCTATCCAGAGAAATTTCGTTATACCCCTTGTTCAAGAAAAATAATGAAACAAATCAACCCAGCGCCTGTCACACGGAGGTTGGAATGTCATCATTAGCATAATTAACAACTCTTCGCAGATGAGCGTTTGACAAACAAGCTCTATCCGACTGAAGAAACCCGATTCAGTTCAGTATACAAATGATCAAGTAAAATATAATTTTTTTTTTTGTACTTTTCTGGCGTATAAAATTTGTCCAGCTTTGATGTCCCCCAGATAATGCCCGCAATATTTGTTCAACGACTTTCTCACCATAAAAAATATTTCAGTACATTATTCTTTTCAAATATTTTCCCACACAGTAACTTCAGTTCTCGCAGTATTCAATACCCCAAGAGTCAAAAAAATCTCACTTCATGTTGTCGGCACTGAGGACTTGAATGTCTCGCGACAGGACCCGGTTCTCGGCTTCAAGCGTGCTAATTCTCACAGAGGCGTCCTCGACGGCCTTGTCTTTGCTCTCGATAACAGCCTTCACCTTGGCAATCTCGCGCAAAACCTGCGCCTTTTCCTTGGCAATCTGCACGTTGTTGCCTTCCAACTCGGCGTTGTTCCGTTCGAGCTCAACCAAACGCCTAATGGTGGCCTTGTAGTCGGCGAGCGATGATTCAATCTTCTCGTGCTCCGATTCCAAGTCCAGCTTGTCTTTCTCGAGATCCAAGACGCGTTTGTTGGCAGCGTCAATCAAAGAAGAGAGCTTCTGGTTTTCCCCGCGAACGCGAAGCAGGTCGAGTTCCATCTCGTCGTACTTGGATCGCTCGACTTTCGTCGCTTGCAAAACGGCACGAAGTTGGGATATTTCCCAGTTGAGAGACTCTTTCGTTTCCTGGGCATTCGCCGACTGCGTCAGCGTGATCTTCTCCAGATTGTCCACCTTCCGCAATAGCTGGGCGTTCTGCAAGGATAGTGCAGTATGTTCTTCCTGGAACAAAACAAGGAGAAGCAAAGTTGTTCCAGTCAATTCCAGTCGAAGATTAAGAAAAAAAAAAGCTTTCGATTTTGCACTGTACGTTGGCACTAAAAAAATTTAGAGCTAGAGATGGCACGTAGAGACGGGTGACCTACTGTAATTAGTTCTTCCTAGCGTGGAGGCTCGAAGTCCATCGTTACTTTCGTTTTCAAAATAAGATATGCCAGGATTCTGTTGTTCTACATTAACAAAAGCGAATACTCCTGGAAAACCCGGTCAAAATATGAATTAAGACAAAATCAGTTTATAGAACATAGTAAAGCAAAATGTACGTCCCCGAAGTAAAATTTAAAATAATATTCAGCACCTAAAATATCTTTGAAACAATCTGCCTCCATTTTGTTGTCACAGGAGCCGCCAATTTGGTGTCAACAAAAATACCTCTTCGTGGATGAGCCAAAATCAAAGATATTAATATAAGATATTAGCATGTTCCTGGGGATATCATTCTGTTATTACTGGGAAGCACGTGCCCATGCTCACACAAAAACTCAAGGAAAGGCTCAACATTCTATTTCTGAATTCATGTCGTGAAAATGAAATTTATGCTGTTGAATGACAACTTGCTTTATTGAAAATTTCATAAATGAAGTGGGAGCTTTCCTGGAAACATTGAAGATTCCTGCAGGATGACATCTGATCCAACACTCAGAAAAACTTCAAGAAATAGCTCAGCTCTTTTACTAGACACAATACGTGAAAAAATACACGTCCCGTTTCCTTGAATATATTGAAATATGTTATGAAAACAATACATTTGAGCTTGACATTATTTTTTGGCTTTCTCCCTTATAAAGCAGATTTAGTGGACCAACAATTATCTAACCAAGTTTATTATGCCTAAAAGAGAAACTTCAACTGATCCTTCCTCTCATACAAGACCATACATTTTTTGCCATCCTTGTCTCTAACAGTACTACAAAATTGCTGGACTAATTATGGCACCGAATCAAGTTTTGACTGTGGTTCAATAGATATTATTTTTTTTATACCTGAATTACGTCAAACTTCTTGGCATTGGATTTCATGGAGTCCAAGATTTTTTGTAGCTTGGAAAACTCGACTTGAAGCTTCGTGTGCTCTTCTTCGAGGACTTCGTGCTTGACGCACAACGCTTTGAACGCAGACATGGATTTCGCAAGGTCTTCGGCCTCGAGTTTAAGCCGAGCGTTGGCATCATCCAAATCGTGGACTCGGTTGTTGGACGCTTTCAGACATTCCGACAATTTCTCCAGTTGCACGCGATCAAATTCCAGTCGAGAAAGCTCCGCCTTCAGACGCTGATTGGATTCCAGCAAATTTCGATTGTCATCTTGAACCTGCTTCAAACGGGTGTCCTTCGTCTGCTCTTCTCTCACTCGCAACATTCCAACCAGTTCTTCCAAGTAGTTCTTCTCTCGCTGAAAAGAATAAATAAAATCATTGACTTCTTACTCAAGCGGCAAACGAATTTAATTCATAAAACCGGCAAAAGAACATGCATAAAATGATCAACTCTTCCGACGTGCGCGTCCGTCGCAGCAAATTGCTGACTCATAATTTATTGCTCGACGTCAAAATGCACGCGTCAACACGGTGTCAGTTTTTCCAAAAGCCCTTCTAAAAACAATCAATCGATCTTCAAGGTCACCGTCATCGTTAACTTCTTAGTACTCAAAGATATATATTACAGCACGTAAACGAGGATTCTTCATCAGGTTTCGCCATACCCTTCGAAACGGGACCAAATTTCATTTCTGCTCACGAATGACTTCGGCAGTGATTGGTTTCTTCAAACTTTTCAAAAATGATTTCATTACATTTTTGGGCCCTTGTCGAGGATTTGATCATCGATCAGTATCACAGAAGCATAATTAATTGTAACCTTCAAAAAATAAAATTTCACACCCGTAACCTGGTGAAAAACAAAATCTTGACTCTGAGGTCAGGCCTGGAGGAGATTGGCACGTTTTTTCGGGTCTCTATTTGTCAGAATAAAATAAAATAAAAATCTGACAAAACAATCAAGGTACTGATGCACTGTTGGCTCATCCGCAGTTGTGATATTAAAAGATGATCATATACATATTTTTTTTCTTCTCGAAACTGCGTCTAGAACAAGATCAGACCAGAAAGATCGGCGTTTTTCGTTTCAAGCATCGTCCATTGGGGTCAGAAATCAGCGAAGAGCATGATTTCAGAGATCAATGAACACATGCATGAACATTTACATTTTGCTCGAAGTAGGAAATAATTCCTACTTCGTAAATAATTCCAACTCATGAAATAATGTCAGAGAAAGAACAGCAAACCTCAGTTTCGGACAGTTGACGCAAATGATGCTCCTTTATGGTTTCCACGTCTTCTCTCATCTGAACAATCACGGCTTGAGATTCCCTGAGCTCGGCCTCTTTGCTGACGCACTTTGTTGTCTCATTTTCAGCCTGCTGTTGAAGACTGTCTACCTTCTGCGACAAACGCGCCTTTTCCTTCTCCAGATCCGACACGCGTTTGTTCGTTTCATTCGCGTGCTGCTCTTTCAACTGGTTGATGCTCGACAGCAACCTCTGATTCTCAAGCTCCAGGCGTCGCAAATGACTCACAGTGTCGTTCGTCATCTCTTCGCTCAAACTCGCGTTACTGTCTGCAAAAGCATTTCGGCAACAAAAAACATTTCATAATGAAACATGGGATGACAGAAAGTTGATCGGCAGATAAAAAAAATTTTGAAGCGTCTAAATTGGTGGTGAATGCGTCAAGACAGTCACTGATGAATTTTCCGTGAATAGAAAATGCGGAAGAATCTGTACTCCGCAGTCAACCAAATTTCGACACAAACCAAATTCGTTCCATGTAACACTAACAGTGATCATGGATTAGTATATCATTAAAATGTAGCTCCGACTGTCAGTGACATCTGATCATCCCAGACGAATATTTCACTGTAATGGAAAAAGTCCGACTACAGTATTCCTTGCATACATTACAAATGTTCCAGTACAGTGAGTCCCCACACAACGAAAAATTCGCATCTCAAAAATATTTATGGGGAAAAAAATGACTCCATAACGTAGTTATTTCAAGTGATGAATTTTTTAGCCCAAAAGATACGAAAACTTCACCGAGTTTCAAACCGCATCTTGAGAAATTTTCAAAAACCAAGATAAAGAAAACATAAAGCCATATTTTCAAATAACCCTGTCTTTGCAATGTGATAAATTTAGAAAATCGTGAGAAATCATTTTCACGATTACTTCAATTTCATGCTAAACAATACTAAATTCAATATTTTCCGCTTAAAAATACACAAATTGTATGGTTTTTATGGTCTTTCGTAGAGTGGCTGGAATCAATTACTGTACATCAATCACGGTGAAAAATTCAGCATAACGACGTTCTTCCAAGAACAAACTAGTTTGGATATGCGGGGACCCATTTTCCAGAATAACGTTATGGATATCCAAGGCCATGATATCTTTACAGCCGTTCCCGTTTGATGAGCAACTGGGCTGAATTTTCGGGTCTCACCTCCTCCATGTCGAAGACGATCCAATTCAACAAGCATGAAACTCGATTCGTCGGCCTGGGAACGCGCACAGAGCAAGAGGCGAGAGTTTTCCTCCAACAGGTCCTTGATTTGAACTTCATTCGCTTCCTTCTCCTGCAATTTCGAAAGAAAATTGATCGTATTTCTCTCCAATCACGCCCAGAAAACACAACAAAAAAACCCCCGAACAAAAGTCAAAGCACCATTTCCAGTTGCTGAATTTGCGACGAACGGTGCATAGCTTCCTGCTCAAGCTGGATCATCCGTTCTTGCCGGCTTCTTAGACTGTCCAACTGATCCTCCAACAACTCGTTCGTTTCAACAAGGACTTTGTTTTCGGCTCGCAATTCCGCCTCACGAGACTTGGACGTCTCAAACTCGGCCATTTTTTCCCGATAACTCCGCACGTCCGACTCGAGCTGATCCGCTCGAGCGGCTTTTTCTCGCATAACGTCCAGCTCATCTTGCAGCAGCTTTGACGCACGGGCTTCCTGCGACAACAGCGTGTTCTCTGCTCGAAGTTTCGCCAAAGCGTCTTCCATCTGCTCCAGCTTTTCCGTCAAGTCGAAGGCTGCATCCGATTTTTCTTCGCTGTGGAATTCACAACATTACAACCGATTCGAACGTCAAAATTTTCAAGCTGCATTGCGTCAACACATCAACAAAAATACAAACCTACTTAAAACTTCGCTCCTTCGTAAGAATATTTTCTTGACTTTTCATAGTTTTTTTTCCCCCTCGGTTTCCTCAAAATTACACATTATTCATAATATAAGTCCTTGTTCACTCGAGTTAAAGCCTCATTTGAATTATCCGTGTTTACTCACGTACCAAGTCCACAATTTCTTCTCAAATTCATGGTGCACGTCAAAGGTCGGAACGTTTTTCACATTTTTTTTTAGAAATTTGGGTGTGCATTACAATTGATTCTAATGGAAAATTTCTGACCAAGTTCAAAAGAAAAATGTCACATTAACGGAAAAAATCGTAAATTAGTTGAATTCAGGTTCAATTCCTGTCTAAATTAAAATGTGGGTGATCTTATTTATAAAATACTGTATGTCAGTTTCAGTCATTAAAATGGGATGTCCGTCCTCCTCGGGAATACAATTTCGTAAAAATTTTAGACTGAAAATCCCTGGTGAGCGTCTTACTCTAGGACATGGGGTACTCGAGTAAATACGGTAAGCTCTATTCAAAAGAATGCTGATCATTTCTGTTTCACACAGTCAACCTCCTCTTTAAAAAAGTATTTTTGTAACGTACTGTGCTTCGAATATAAGGGAACTCAACATTTAAATTAAATACCTTATGAAGACGGTAATTCTAGGGTAACGCGGTAGCACGGATCAGGCCACCTTTGTTTAAATTTGGTCTTTTTACTTTCGGAAAATTCGGTGAATCAGGCGTAATATGCCCAACATTACCAATGAGTTCCATCGGGCTTTCAGTTGAAGGAAAGTACTGTACTCACACTTCTTGACGTAATCTCCGCAGCTTGCCTTTGGTATCAGCTAATTCTACGAGCAAGTGATGATATTCCGGACTTGTTTGTCCCAATCTTTGTAAGGTCGAAGGAGCTTGGTCAGGAGCACTGGCAGCGTGTTGTGATTTCTCAGACTCTTCGCCTTCTGGATCGACTTCATCAGATTTCCGAGACGAGATCGTAACCACGGCAGTAACAGCTTCCTGTTTACGGGAATGAACAAAATACAGTATTCCTTTTGAAGGAAAATGGGTACATCGCACTTTAAAGCGGTACGAACCTGCAGATATTTATCTCTTTCATCGACCAAAGAGCGCAAATGTCCGACCAACGCAGCAAATGCACCTTCTCGCTGCGTTTCCGGAACTTTTTTGTAGTCAAGCCAATCGACAGGCCAGACAGTGAAATACTCGTCCGTAATTTGCTGGATACACGTAACAATGACATGCTGAACGTTGATGTCCAACAGCTTGATATTGTTGATGAAGTCTTCCCTTTGAGGACACTGCACGGCACAGCCGAGCAACAATAACAATAGCTGCTGCATTTCGCAGGGCCACCTGTCAAGCTTCAAGTCGGCAGGGCGTTTGGTAACTTCGGAAAGCATGATGTCAACTGATTTCGCCAAGGATATGCAATCTGGGAGTCGACACACCACGATCTGTCCCAGAACATCCTGCACAAGCCATCGAACAATCGATTTATAAATTTAGAAATTTCATCATTACAGTCAATTCAAAAGTGAAACCTTACCTTATAAAATTTCTGAATACTTTGGATCAACGAATGCAGGTTTCTTAGGCGAGCACAAAAATTATTCGGGGGATCCTCCTTCGAGAGGCTTTTGCCAAGAAGCTGAGATGCAGAAGGTTTTTGATTTCTGGAAAAGAAAATATACAATAAAACGTTGGAGTTTATCTAACCACATCAAACAAAATGTCCATTCATTCTTACATTGAAGAAAAAACTTGTATTAACGCACAGCCCTGCGTTAAACGAAGGTAGGATACATCTTCGTCGTCTCCAGTAGAATTTGCGTCATACAAAGATTGCACCTTTAAATGAAAACGAAATCAGGTGGATACGAATTCCAATGAACACTTCTCAATTGAAAGCTTACCCAAGTAATCAGGGAATCCAAAGGATCTTCAATCTGACAAAAACGTCGGACACAAGCATCGAAGTCCGCAGCCCTGGCTTCGGTTGACAGAGCTGGCACTTCCTCAGAAACGAGGGCCATCGTGACGGATATTTTATCGATCACGACGAACTACCACAGATTCGATCCTCCATTCGGAGAAACTCGGCTCAAGGAAATAATACATTCCCCCGAATTCACCCCTCACACGACCAGTGCGAGGAATATTACAAGATTCTTAAGGCTTTGGCATCATCCACTCTGAGCAATAATTCACGCACATCGCTGCAAAAAAAATTACTCTGGTAGTCGAACTGAAACAAGGCACCTATATCTCGCTTTTCACGAGGGCTGAGATCAAATTCCAGAATTACATCTTACACAGTGTGGTTGAAGGAGGTAAGTTGGACAGCGGCTACATCTCCAAGCAAAAACAAATTATAGATGTCACACTATTATCAATCCCCAGGAATATTAACCCGAATAAATAAATACTGTACCGTACAAAATAGTACTGTATTCCCGAATAAAAGCAGCCAATCAGCTTCAATATTCAATTTCACCATTTTCGAGATGCAGTTCCCAGTTTTTCAATACATTTGGGAAATTGTGTCATGAGAAAAGACTGCCGAATAACTTTTACAACATCATCACTAATGAAATTCAAGTGTTTCTCTAAATTATTATTGCTGTCTTTTAAATTTTTGCTTATCATCAAAAATGCTTCACCAGCCCTGCTTGATCTATCAAGTATCCAAGTTAATACTGTACTCTGATTTACTTTCTAAAATGTACATAGATTTCTAGAAAATTCAAAATGAATCCTGGTGGTCAGCATTTTCAGAGCCTTATTTTTCATAGGAATGGGGTAATCCTATGCTTTAGCATCAATACTGTGTAGTGTAGGGATAATCCACTTGAATTGGGCCCTGTCCAGAAGTGATCCAACATTCTGTCTAAATAAAAATGTTGGTTGTGTGGTTCTTGAAAAAAAATTTTTACATGTCTTTAAATATTCCTTTATAGCAGGCAGGACGATTTGTGCATTTGTTCGCAGGGATAAGTGTGACAGCTAAGAATCTGTCTTGCGTGAATCTGGAAGGGGGTTGTTCAACTTGCCTCCTTTCACCTCCTGAATGAACGAATGAGAGCTCGGGAATTTCATCTCAGCGGTAGTTGAAGATGAAGCTTTTGCCAGCTCAACTTCGTGAATCACTTCTCGTTACTCTGCATTAACATAATTTTGATTGCTGAATGTTTTCGGTTCTATGCGTGTTACGCGTGCATGCTCCCGATTGATGTGCTTCTGTTTCCTAATTATCTGTTCCGCTGAATAGGTGTGGACGAAGTGGCAAGACCTGGATTTGTTACATCTTTTGGTCAAAATGAAGTGAACGCGCTCTCATTGTTTTTTCTTGGATGTGCACAAGCGACCAGCGACGGGGTTGAGATTCTTCCGCCGGGATGGCTACCAAAACCTACGACCATTTGTTCAAGCTTCTGTTGATCGGCGATTCCGCTGTTGGTAAAACGTGTCTGTTGTTCCGTTTCTCCGAAGACGCATTCAACAACACCTTCATATCCACTATCGGAATCGACTTCAAAATTCGTGTGGTTGACTTGGATGGAAAACGTGTCAAGCTGCAAATATGGGACACTGCCGGTCAAGAGAGATTTCGAACCATCACGACAGCCTACTACCGGGGTGCCATGGGAATACTTCTCGTGTACGACATAACGTCGGAGCGTAGTTTTGAGAATATTAAGAATTGGATGCGAAATATTGAAGATCACGCATCTGCTGATGTCGAAAAGATGATCATCGGCAACAAGTGTGATAAAAACGCTGAACGTCAGGTAATCTTGTCGAAGAAGTCTTGGTTGTGTTCTCTCATCCTGGTCGCTTAATCGTAAAGCATGGCTCTTTTCGGGGTATGACTTGGCGTATGATTACTATATTCGTGACACTAGATCATAATCTCCTTCAATTTTATGTGAAAACTTTCTCAGCGAATCGAATCATTATAGTCCGGTGCATACTGTACATGATGAATGTCGAAATTGCACCTGTGAAAGTTCCAAATTGCGTTTTGAAACTGTAAACGCTGAGCAGAGCATTCAAATTTGCTTCACGTCTTCTGCGAAGATGATTCTCATCTCGAGCTTTCGAGGAGCCCGTGTTCAGAATGTAGTCTCAATGATTGAGAATCTTTTTGATTGATTCGATTCGCAGGTCAGCAAAGAAAGGGGCGAAGCATTGGCGATAGAGTATGGCGTGAAGTTCATGGAGACTAGCGCGAAAGATGCGATTAATGTTGAAGAAGCTTTCTACACCTTGGCCAGGGATATCATGGCGAAAGCTGAAAAGAAGCTGGTGAGTGTGTTTTATCCCTGTCATTCTTCCTGGGTACAACTGGGTTTTTTCTTGACAGGAGAGCCAGCATGCCGCAGGAAAAGCCGGCCATCAACTCCGTGCTCAAGAACCTCCAAAGAAGTCAATGAGCTGGCTTCAGCGGTGCACGCTACTGTGACCATGTTCAAGAACAGAAAATGCGATGTGTTTCACCTTCATGAATCGAATAGTTCACTCCTCTGTTGGGCTTCTTTCTTCCTTTTTACCTGCGAGGTGTTTACAGATAAATGAGAGTTATTCCTATTTATTCCCCCTCGTGCGTTGTGGAGTTAAAATGAGAAATGACGGATATAATAAAGAACCGAGTGGGGGTATGCTTTGCAAAATTGTTCGTACCCTGCGTTTGGGAATCGTTTGTGCTTCCAAATATGCGAAATGTTTGATCGAGAAAATTAATGCAGGCTTACTTTTCCTGGGAATTCTATCCTAGAATTTTGATGTAGTTTTCCATAGATTGGGGCACGCCAATTGGAGATCAGAGTCTGTTTGCATTGATAGTGAATTTTCCCAAGAGTGTAACCAAACCTTGAGGCTTCTGACAAAATTCCGGACACTTATTAAAAAAAAAAAGTCTGAAATTAGGGCCCTATTTAATTTAGGGAGATTATTTTAGGCATTATAATCTGGTGAAGAGATTGACATTGTTGCGTAGGAGATGGGATTGACAGTTATTTCATGAACAAACAATTTTTGGTTTTGGCAATTATGGGAATGCGGGTTTTTAAAATAATGCCTTTTAAATATCATCCTAACGTCAACAATTTTATGACACTTTATTCAACTCAGCTTCAAATAGGTGACTGATCTATGATTTTTTCGAGCAAGAATTTGTTATAACAAATTATTGCTCAAAAAAATTGTTTTTGATGCTTGCCAGATCGTGAATTTTTTCTGTGGAAAAACTGCTGTTTGTCTTGTCCCACTGGCTTTGTTACAGGATTTTTCTGTAATTTTAAAGTTAGGCAATGTTTATTAAAAATATATGAAAAAGCTGTGAAGATGCCAATCAACCAGCACTCATCAGGAATTTGAAAAATTCCCTGTAAATTGACAAAATTGAACTGCCTGATAAGGACAATTCTGCCTAGTTTTTCCTGCAACCAGCAAATAATTCATGCATTTGCAACCTCAGGGTCTACATATGTAGTACAATACTGTATCTGTACTATTTGCCCTTGAATTATTACCGTATTATCCATATGTAATCCTACCTTTTCATACTGTTCCTTGCATGTATAAATCTTCATAAGCTTGTTGCTGTTGTGTGAATATGCACAGGACAGAAGAGGTCTGGGAAAAGTGAAAGGTTTGTGATGAAGCAAGTGATCAAAATATAATTGCAAAGGTTACAACTTTAATTAATCTATTCAATGCATTACTGTACTGTGCGTTGCAATTATGCGGCTGTTCAAACATTCTTTGAAAATTCATAACTGTCTTGTCATGTGAATTAATTATTCAGTACTGCAATATACGATCTATTGCAAATGAAGATGTCTCATTAAAATGCATGAGACTGATTTTAAATTCTTGTGGGAATAGGTGTTCAAAAGTCTGAGTAAATTATTCCGAATTTGTGAGGAATCATATTTTTGATATGTTTTCCTGCATCCTTGATTATAATTAAACGACCCTTTTTTCTTCTACAAAACGGCAGCCTAGATCATATACTATGTTTTATACAGATGGTTCGCAGACATTTCTTGAGTGTAACATGTGCCAATTTGGAATTTGTTTTAGACTTCATAAATTGCAATGTATTTTACTGCAGTACGCTTCGCACAAAATTGTGGAAGTGAAAGTTTTACTGCATGTCGCATCGGGAAGTTATTACAAGAGTGATTCATCTTTGCGCGTGAGATAAGGACAATTTTTCTGGTACAAACAAATAAAGCACAGTATTATAAGTACACATAATATTCATATCAAGTCTGCAGAAAGGTTTGGATTAAATGCTGCTATGAGTTCTTTGGCAGATCATTATATATACTTGTTCCACTTATCAGCAGAGGCGCATTTCCAACAATAAATTAAAAACGTAAAAGCCAATTAAATCAGTTGTTATATGTGCACTATATACAGTATATATACACAGTATAGTAGCGCAAGTCATGTACTGTGGTACAATATCATAATTTAACCTGCTTCATAATTTTATTGAATCATTGTAATAAGACGCCGCAAGATAATATGTTTTAATGTACAGTTAAAGTGAATGAAGCATTGGAATCGTATTTTGTCTTGAGAAAATGCATAAATTTGTTTATTGGATAACTATATACATGCAGTACCTACTTTTTGATTATTATTTTCAGCAGAGTTCTTTGCGATATTTCCTGTAAAATCAAATTGTTGGCATCAGCACCTCTATATACTTGTACTGCTGCATGTACATATGTTGCAGCATGCATGACGATGCTGGAAATCAGAGAACATTTGCAGGAGAGGTATTTATTCGAGGAGTTTCTGAATTTTGGAATCTATGTCTTGTGCCAGATTTCCAATCCTTTTTTAAATAGATTCACTTGCCCTGTCCGGAGTAAATTACATTAAACTATCTGTACCTTATTTGAATGCATACTATACTGTAATATACATGGGTGTTAGAGATTTGATTCCGTTGCATTTTAGGTCAGTTGTCATCAACTTATTAATTTAGTGTCATATTCCAGTAGCAATTAATTGCAAATGTTCATATTATTGCAGGACAAGTGAACTGTGAACAGCATCAGAGAAGGGATTGTCAAAAACCTTCAGCGTTGCTCCACCCATCTTATTATAGGAAACAGTTATTGTTTCACCATAGAACACCATGAAAATTCCATTGATGGGAGAATAAGATATTAACTGTAATAGCAAATATTTTTACATCTCGATTTTTCTGAACAAAATGCTTGAATTACTGCAGATTAAAACTCAGGGATTTCTCCACAAAAAAAAAACGAAGGGCATCGTGAATACTTTTCCATCTTGTATATAAGAAACAACGTACAGTACATATTTCACAAATTTGAGAGCAAGTATTTCTGAGGAAAATATCAATTTCACGTGATATTTAATTCACAATTTCATGCTTGAAGCTTAAAACATGGAAAAGTATATTTCTTATCAAGGTTCATCATGCTGTTTTTTTTTGGTGCGTCTGAAACAGGTAGAATAGTATTCAAATGTAACTCAAGGGGATATAAGTCACATGTCTAGAATAAAAGAAAACTTTGCCTAATAAAACAGAAAATAATTCAGGAATTGATCTATTTCATCACGCACGGGACTCTGAAGCTCGTCTCGTCTTACCAAGCATGGACGCAAGACATATTTACAGGGCATCTTGCAGCCTTCATGAGTATTACCTACAGTATAATTAGTACAATGGCATTTGCAATTACGCGTTTCATCAATTCGGCGCTGCATATACACGTACACTTGTCCCACACATTCCAGGTCCCTGTAAATACGTAGGAGTCTTCGCTTGGAACGGGCTGCAATCATGAAGCATTCGGTCTAAAAAAAGTACTGTATGCTTTCGGGCGCAACTGTTGCTGGATGTCGCAATCGAGGATGGAGTGCCGAGAACTGTACGTATGATCACGAGCTGAATTATTATTCAATCGCTACTTCTCGGAACTCCAGATGTCGCCAACGCCACAAAAGATAAACTCACTGCCACGCGCATGAAATAATCTCAACAACTCCGTCGTTCGCAGCAACGGTTTAATCCCGTCTGATAAACCACTCCTTCCTTCCTCACAAAGCGCACAACACAGGCGTAAGAACAAGCGACTAGCATAGCAACGCAGGCGGACAAAGAATCCAGAAAAAGAACACGAATTTCTTCGATCATTTCCTCATCCCAAGCATCCAAGAATACAAATATTTCGTCAAAAAAACACCAGCGGCAACAACACGTTTTTTCGTTCTCCTCCTCAGTATCACATTCACAAAAAAACGCAGGCAAGAGGGATAAAAAAAAACCGAAACCATCACCCCGCAAGAAAATACTCCTTCTGTTGAAGGCGAATAATAGTATCACAATCATTCTAGTCGTGGGTGTGCTGCCCCTCGTCGCAGGCAACAAATTTTCCCCTCCTTCAAAAAGGCAACGTGCAAATAACGATCAATGTTTAATCGGCTAGCTTTTGATCTCAAATGAACAATTCGCAATCCTGTGGCACAGCGGATTACTCTATACGACGGGTTAATTAGAACCATGTTGTATGCGGTTGAGAAATGAGCAGAAAATGATATGGTCTCAACACGATTAGCCCTTAGTATCCGAGTTAATGAGCATAATACACGAACATTTCTAGAAAGTGGTACCATTCAGAAAATAGACTGAAGAGTCCTGATGTACCTCAGATCCATTCTTTTGTGTACTGCACTTCGCTCATGGGTTACGGTTTCATTGTACCGTCTTAAATCTGTTTATAAAAATTCAATTCGAACATCGCTACAACATTCAAATGGGGGCAAGAGCATTACGACAGTCATCAAAAGTACAGTCAAACCTCTTCAAGTCAAATTTCCACAGACTAGCAAAAATTTCGCACTTTTCGATGTGGGGGGGGGGGGGGGGGGGGGGGAAAAAAAACAAAAAA